AGTCGTCACAGACTGGGTCTGTCAGTTTAATAGGGACTGTCTTTGTTTAGTCGTGGGCTACACTGGAGGCTGTGCAGAGCACAAGACACTGCAGTCGTGTTAGAAAACATTTCTGTGTGATTAGTCGTGTCATGACAGACAACAATATATATCAGCCAGTGTAGATACAGGCAATAGGACCATCCTGGATTAATGTGAATGTCATGTTTTCTGAAAGGAAAAGAAAGCAGTCTGCACCTGTCTGGCTGTGTGCTCTGTCTCCAAATGCTCTTGTGCTGTGGCTGTAACAGACTGGTTGTTGAGACAACATTGTGTGTTTTTATGTAAATGTCTGGGGTGACAGTGAAAAAATCCTCCCACTGCCTCAGGTTTGTTGTAAAAATGTGAATAAAAATGGAAATGACTCCATGTGCGTGCAAACAACAGACCAGGACAATAGAGATTAATTTTATACAGACAGAATTCCAAAGTCAATGCATTTTCTGCTACGTTAATGTACACTTCCATGCCCTTTTCACACTGGCACTTAATATGGTATTCGCTATGCAGCGACCCTCATTTTGTTAAACGTTTGTGTTCACACTGAAAGTGTCACTCATCAACTAATGCATGCTAAAGCTAAGGCTAAAAAAGTTTAAAGACAGATGTTATATTTAGAAAAAAATGTACTCATTTGGGTGTCTTCACAAGTCTTCACATTTTTCCCTATTATTGTTTAATAACTTTAAAGCTAATGGAATCATTAATGTTTAGTGACATGTTTTACTCCAGCACTATTTTTCCTAAAACAAAAAACAAAAAAACTTCCAGGGGCTTGATTTTATTCCTGTGTGGTTATTTGTTTGTTTGTTTTACCTTAAACCACTCTGGCTCCGTAGCCGTGTACGTGATAGTCACCAGGGAGCAGTTAGGTTTTTACAAGTATATTGTTCTTACCAGAGTCGTTATCCTGGTTCCATTAACTCTGCCTCAACTTAGTGAATTCATACATGTGCAATTCTGCCCTCCGGGGACTGTGCTTCTTAAAATGCGCTTTTATTGTTTCTGGGTTTGCGAGAATATGACATAACAGAGTGTGACATCAGCATTTTTCTATTTTTGGATCCTATTTTCAAGAGGAATTGATTTGTGCTGCACATGTTGAGTGCGTGCTTACAGTATGTAGAGTTGGAAGACAAACTGGTGTAACTGTTAGCAGTTTTTCATTTTTGTTTTATTCATCATTTACAGCTGTGACAAATCAGTTTTATTTTCGTAGGCAACTGTTTAGGAGACTGTTAGACTTTTGACTTCTATACAAGAACAGCTTAACTGCTGTTTCATTGTTGTTGTACCAATTGTGGTCTGCAGTTCAAACAGGTCCACAGTCAAGCCAATGGGTATTTTGCAGCTAAAGTGATAACAAATACATGTCCTGAATGTGTGTGTGTATTCAAGCTGTGTGTAAAATGCAAGAAAAATACAGAGCACAGTAGCTGTGACCGTGTGAGTGTGTGTCTACAGAAGAAGGTGATTTAGCTACACTGACTCCTCAGGTAGTCGACTGAGTCGTCTGTGATGTCGCTATTTTCCCACTTGTTTTTGTGTCTTTTCATCTTGTAGAGACCAAACAACATCACTCCACAGTCAGCAGAAGAGATCAGAGAGTGCCTCGCAGCTGTGTGTGTGTGTGTTCGTGTGTTACATGTTTAGCAAGCATTAGTTCAAATTGTTCTCAGAGCAGATGGAACTCTTTTTTTTTTTATGATAAGAAATGTTAATGTGATTGCTAGGCTGTATCAGCTATTTGTATCTCTAATCAGAGGTTATATATAAGTTTACCGAATATTTAATAAGGCAGACCTAATCTGACCCAACCTATGATCCACAGCACATATGTTATATTAGAGAAGCACACCACCAAACATAAATGTCAAGAAACGTAGTCAAATTCACTTGTGTGAAACCTGGACCTGTTTAGTTGAACATAATGCTGATATACCCTCAGGAATTGAAGATAGACAAACACACTGATATATTTATAAAATATTATAAAGATATTCAATATAAGGAATTCAGGAGCTGAGATAATGTACCAACATTTAAATCCATTTACAGTGAAGCGAAGCGTAGCAGTTTAATTAACTATGAATGGCACATTTACTGAGTTTAAACTAACACTCAGTGTCAAACTTCACACGTAGCAGTCGTGTAATATTTGCACCAGGCAAAACTTTATAATTACATAACAATGACTGCAACAGTGATACTTTGTAAACACCGTCTCAGAGAGATGTCCACTACCACCTCCGCTATTAGAGAGATACACCCTCTGAGCATTTCCTGTTGTAGCCAACACTCTGTCCCCTGAGTGACACAGCAAAGGCTTAATGGGCCTGTTGATGGTGAGTTAGAGCCCAGTGTTAATTATAACTCCATGCTCCATTAAACACAGTCGTATTAACATCAGCAGAAGCTGCACTGTGAGGCCCCGTCCTGACCAGTATGAGATCACTGATCTCAATTAATGTGCAAATTTTATAATGATCGGAAAAAAGTACTAAGATCGGTTATTGAGACTCACGGTAACTTTGGGGTACTTTGTTGGGATGCCACTTATAGGCAGGTTCTTATAAGATTATAGTACGTTTTTACAATTTTTGTAATTAACTTTGTATTATCTTGGAATCTCTCTAATTGGCACAAGGAGAAGTTAGATAGTTGTGGGAGATGCCCCTGCTGGTCACTAGTGGTAGTGTAGCAAAAACTATTATATTTTTTGTGTAAAAAAAATAATTAATGTGGATTATTTGTTTCCATTTGCATATTCCCCACACCCCTCTATGGAATAAAGCAGCAGAAATTGAAAGTGTGTTGTAAAGTTGTATTGGATAAGGAGCACTTATAATTAAAATATATATATAATACAATATAGTTATATAATATAGTTTGAATTATAATAGTAAATTATGATGGTAACTACATAGAGTTTAGCCGATGTCAACTGCAGGCCGTGGCTCTGTACAGTGTATTTTAAAGGCTAGATGTTTATGTGGTGAATGATAAGATGCCTTGAGTGAACATACTGTAAAACCAGTGACCTTGCTTGTCATCCAAAGGTTTTTATGTTCCCTCTCGCCCAGCCTCATCACTTCCCCTACACCCTGTTCCCTTTCGTTATTTCTATTTGCCCTGGCCCTGATTATCAAGTAACTGATACAATAACGATAAATAAAACCTATTGTTAGTTTGACCAAGCAGAACCTAATGTATGCTTAATCTGTGCCAGCTCACTGCCACTCGCTCACCTTCTCTCTCTCGCTCACCTTCTCTCTCTCTCTCTCTCTCTCTGTCTGTCTGTCTCATCAACATGGCGGGCAGCTTGTGTGATAACAACCACATAAAGCATCTGATTTAAAAAGCCAAGGTGGATGGACACTGGAGGAGGACATTATGTGCCCGTGCACACGTATGCAAGAGTGGGAATAATAATCACGTAGCGTCCGTGCACTCACACAGCACCATGACTCTCACATCCAATTGCTTCTGTAGATATAAATTACACATGATCGGCCGTGAAAATTTAATCAACACAAATTTAATTTTGTCAGAAATTACTGAGATGCTGCAATGTTCCTGTTTGATGTGAACACTGTCAATGTTAAGGCGGGGTTAAGTTGACGATGCTGAATGAAGGCCACAAGTGTGAGTCATGGAGCTTTCTGTGCTGTTTACACATGCTTTTGTCATGTATCTGGAATCAAGTTTTTCTGATTGAGGCCACGCACCAATAACCTCTGGATTTCTGGAGACATAAAGAACTGATTCTTTCCTATAATGCAATTTTTAAAAACTGGTAACGTTGTTTTGCATCAACCGTTTGCACATTGTTGTAGCAGACAACTCAACTCAAGAAATTAAACTTTTAGATAGTCTTCACAGCACCACCTGCAGGGAAGCATTGGAAAGAACGACAGAGTTTTCTGATTAAAAACAATGTTTGTCTTTGAATCAGTACATCAATAATTTCTTGAGGACAGTCCTTCTCAGTTATTTCGGGACTTAATGTGACTCACTTGACATTCAAACCAAATTTTAATATTCAGTCTTTTTTCTCTCGCTCTCTTTATAAAGATAGGCTTTTGCCATCTCTGAATATTAAATACAGAGACGTCTTTAATTAGTTGTTCGTCCTTTAGGAAGATCACAGCAGAGGTGACTCTTCCAAAGGTGGAAAAACAACTTCTTTGTGAGTTTCAAAAAAATTAAATTTGACCAGTTAACACTTCCAACTGCATGACAGTTGCTGTTTATCATGCTCAATTGTGCCATAATGATATTGTCACTATCCACTACCTGGCTCCTGGTTTAATGTTGTAGTTTCATGGCCACTGATTTGTTTCTTTAAAAGATATGGAGCCACTTTGAGCCGAGCTCCTGGGCGACTGAATCAGCACTGGCTGGTTATTGGTGATTTCTTATGTCAGTGGTTTTAAGGCCAGCCCAGAGGAGACAGTTTGATATGCAGGATGTAGAGTGCTGAGATGTCGAGGTGATGAGAATAAAAGGCAAAGGATGTGAGTGATTTTTTTCAGATTGGCCCAACACTTTTCTGTGAGTTATGTTTTAGACTAAAACTTTAAATGTAAATCAAACATTCAGAGGTGATGTCTTTATCACGTTGTGTGTTACAAAATATAAGGTTGAGGTTGTACTAGTACTCTGCAGTGTGTGGGGGTGCTGTTTCCACCAGAAGATTAGTATTTGTCAGGTTCAGAATGATTCTTTTTTTGTTGTTTGTGATCCAGCCTTTGTCTTTGTTCCTACTTGTTATTTCAGTCATTTTTCTGCTCATGTTGTTGATGGTACCCCATTCATATAGTTGTCAACTGAACTTTGCGTTTAGCCTTGTTACAGCTGACACAGGTCAGTCTGTCTAAGATCAAATACAGGTGAATGATGTTGGTTTCATTTGTAAAGAGTGTATTTGTAATCTTTTTTTTAATGTATTTTTGATGCAGGTAACTTGCCAGCTTCTGTGGGATTTGATGTTACCTTCAGATTGGTTTAACTGAAGATGGAAACACTGGAGTCTGAGCTCACCTGCCCGATCTGCCTGGAATTGTTTGAAGATCCTCTGCTCCTGCCTTGTGCTCACAGTCTGTGTTTCAACTGTGCCCACCGCATCCTGGTCTCTCACTGCTCCACCAACAAGCCCCTTGAGTCCATCTCAGCTTTTCAGTGCCCAACGTGTCGTTACGTCATCACGCTGAATCACCGCGGTCTGGAGGGCCTGAAGCGCAATGTGACTTTGCAGAACATCATTGATCGCTTCCAAAAGGCCTCACTCAGTGGCCCCAACTCCCCCACGGAGAGCCGGCGCCTGCAGCCGCAGCGACCCTGCACTGCCACCATTAGCGGCACGGTAGCTGGTACAGTTGGTGGCAGTGGTGGTGGTGGTGGCTCCAGTGGAAGCAGTGCCCGAGGCAGCCCGGCCACTTCCAGCCACACCCTGCTGCACACCAACCACACCAATCACATCAACCACACAAACTCCAACCACAGCCCAGCTGTTGTTGCTAAAATGGATCCACGCATCAGCTGCCAGTTCTGTGAGCAGGATCCACCGCGTGAGGCTGTCAAGACGTGTGTAACGTGTGAGGTATCGTACTGTGACCGCTGCCTGCGTGCAACACATCCAAACAAGAAGCCATTCACCAGCCATCGCCTGGTGGAGCCGGTGCCGGACACTCACATCCGGGGCCTGACTTGTCTGGAGCACGAGAATGAGAAGGTCAACATGTACTGCTTGGTGGATGACCAGCTGATCTGTGCCCTCTGTAAGCTGGTGGGGCGTCACAGGGACCACCAGGTGTCCTCGCTCACAGAACGCTTTGACAAGCTCAAGGTAAAACCTTTACGTCCTTTTCAGTTTCTGAAACCGAGAGTGAAGCTCAAACAGAAAATAAGTTCAGTTTCCAAACGTTATCTATTAAACAACGAACTGGTGGTGTAAGATCAAACTTTTTTCTTTTTTTCTTTTTTTACTTAGCCTGCAACAATTGTGTTTGTGTAATTCTTTAAGGGAAGTTTCTTCTCTGTGTTTCTGCCTACTGTAAACTTGTTACTGGTGCAGAAGTTTTTCACAGTCACACATTACACATTTGTTTGCTTTTGTTTGGCAAGAAGGGTGGTGAGACCAATCACAAACAGAAAGAGAGAGAGAACAATTAGGAGGATGGACCTTCTGGAAGGGCAGAAAGAAAGAGAGGGGGAGTTGAGGGGATGGGGGGGGGGTGAGTCCGTTGTTACTATAGTCGATGAGCTTGCATTCCCTGTGGCCACTGAGCTTTTAGAGGATCTGCAAAAAAGGCCGTACTGCTGAATCAGGACGAAAAAAACAAAAGAGAGAGGCATGAGCTGGAGCTTATCCCACCAATAAAGTACTGATTACTAACTACCACCATCAGGTAGCATGGTATTTTTACCACTTGTGTGTGTGTGTGTGGTGAACACACAGCTGGTAAAATACATTATCTAAAGTCATCTTCATGTTATGTTATGACGTAAGCGTATTTTTAGTGTCCTCTGCCTTTACTTGATTGGAGGTAAACCTTAGTTATTCCACTTTACAATGTCTTTATGTATGGTATATACTCACATAAAACAGTTGTCATAAAACTTGGATTATTGCTAATCACGGAAGCTGATTTAAACCTGTTGTTTTATGGTCCTGGACTTTTTAAGATAAATTAAAAAAAGAAGACTGGACTTTTTAAGATAAATTAAAAAAAAAAAGAAGTGGAGGAACCCAGCTACAATTCTTCCTCTAATACAGTATTTAAGCTAAATTAATTTTATGAGATGTAATACTTTGTAAGTGTATCAGAACAGAACTCACATCTTGAAATGAAAGTAGTAAAATTATATTTTCTTTGCATTTTATGTAGAGCAGAAAGCAGGCGAGCAGTGCCTTTGAAATATAAGGGAATGCCTCATTTAAACAAGCATTTCATCGGTTTATTCTTTATATGCTACAGTACACCTAAAAGTCACACATTAATTAAATATGGTTTTGTTATTAAGGTGTGAAAAACACATTAATTAAATATGGTTTTGTTATTTTTGTTGCAAAATGAACAAGGTGTGAACAATAAAAATTACAAAAATAAACAGGAAATATTTATTTACATATGTAGATAGATATATTTTTGCCTAATCTGCTATTGATAGTCAGTGAATGTTCTTCTTTAAACAAAGCATTGTGGGGGGGGGGTTTTATTGTTGTTTGTCTGTTTTGTTTTGTTTATTTTATTTTTTTTTTGCATTTTGCAGTACAAGCCTGAGGTTCCAAAGTACATTGGGACCTTTTGAGTGACATTGTTTACATCCCCTGTGCATCCATCAAAACCCCCTGTCCCTTTGGTCAGTATTAAAACAAAGCCCAGACTCAGCTGCATAAAATATGAGTTTTATTTATAGTCAAGTGCCATTCTCTTATTATGCATTATTGATTATTTGTCAACCAAAACTCTGGCTCTCACTGTGGCTTTTTCATCGGCTTGTCAGCAGCACCTCTCGGTGACTTCACTCACATGCACACAGCTCACCTTTTAACGGCTTCATCCTTCCTGTGAGGAGTCTCTTCATCCCTGGCTTTAAGTTTAAACCTGTATTAAGGAGACTGATTCTTGTCCGAGTTCCAGCTCAGCTCACGTGGCACAATAAATACTCATAATGGAGTTTTCAGTGCTATTTGTAACTGATATTGTGTTAAGATTTCCTGCCACAGTTTAAATGAGATCTTCTAATAGCTTCCATCAATCATTAACAACAGGAAGTTCTTTTAAATGTTCGCCGCTTGAACTCTGCTCTAATATGTGTGATCCCTGACCTTTGGACGACCTCTTCTGCATATGTTAGGAGCTCCATTGTCATCAAATGATTTCTTACATATTTTGACAAAGGTGAGCTTCCTCTAGGCAAAGCACGAGGAGATTTCAAAAGAGGAAATGTCAACATGCCGGCACTGCGGAGACAGAACGTGGCAGAGAACGGAGTTAATTCCCAACGGCACCTGTTTAGCGGCAGCAGCTCTTTGAAGCCTAGACGTTTAGTGTCTCGCAATAATTTGTGAACGGTATTTTACTGTGATAGGGGTAGGAGACCTGAAAGTGTTACACCTCAGATTTTAATGGGATTTCAGACATTCACCTTCACAGGAACCTCTTCCACTCTTTGATACATTCAAATCGTTGAAGCAGTAAATATCAGGTCAGATCCTCCAGAGGATGTTTAAACTTCAAGCAAATTAGAGTTTAAATGGAAGGTCTTGTACTATAGTATTAGTAAACCTGGTGTTGTATAGTTAAGGCAGAGAACACTGCCGATATAGCTGCTGTTTTTCTATTTCTTGCCGGGTCACAGGTAACCCTTATCCTCATATTTTTATTTTAAAATGCTAAAGCCAAATGTAATGAGGTGTAAAAAACTTCTTATCCTCATATTTTTATTTTAAAATGCCAAAGCCAAATGTAATGAGGTGTAAACTTTGACCTCCTTTATATACAAATATAAATATATATATATGGACAAAAATACTTACACCACTAGCTCCAGAATTGTGAGATATATTTGAACTATTCAATTTCTCACAGTGATCTCTACATCTTTATTGTATAGAATTATAATCTAGGACATCAATTATGCATTAAGCAGATTGTGAAGGCACAGATATAGTTGGTTTATATTCCTGAGTGGAGAACCTGTGTTTGAACCAGAACAGACATGAAGGCACCTTGTGGTATACAGTATGTTGGTGGTTTAGATATTTGGCTACACAAAAATGTTCTTTTATAACAACTCTTAAAGAAGGTGAGATCTAGAACAGTCTAACCAGAACAGGTATCTTGACAACGGTACATACAAAATGCAGCATTTGTTAGGCTGTAGAGTACAGCCACAACATAAGCAAACAGGAAGTTCACTGGTAATGTGTTGTGAACCCACACACGTGCTCTTCAGCCTCATGAGCTGGTACAGCTGCGTTTGAAGGTCCACGGCATCTGTTTCGCTCCGAGTGAAGTTAAATGTTTCAGGTTTTGGGAGGAGTTGTGGTGGTGTTGTTGTGGTGGTGTTGTCGGTCACCTGGTATCTTCCGCAGTGGTCTAGTTCCCATTTTTTTGCAGTCACACCAGTCGTTCTGTCAAACACTCTTTGTGAAGGTATTCAAACACACATTAGACATCTGGTCCACTGAAAACTGCACACTGCTGCATAATAACTATCAGTGTTCCTTGTGATGCTGATTAAAATGACAGGAGATTAAATGAGGCTTTCATCCACAATAGTTTTTGCACAGTGCATTTACTGGCTCTCAGGCTGTTTTGTAGGGTGTTAGAAGTGTGTGCTTAACATCAAGTGTTGACGAGCAGACACGTCGTCATCGCCACAGTAATGTGTGATACTCAAAAGCTTTCTGTTGCGTCACGTGTTTTTATAGATGAGTGGCATCTCATCACCAGGCCTGCACTTCATCTCCTCTCCATAATCTCTCCAAATTCCCTGTGCCTCATTTCTTCTTCTTCTACTTCTTCCTCTGGCATGCCTACGAGGCCGCTGGTAAAAGTCTTTATATTAACTATCACTGATGCACATTGTGCTCACTGCACTTAGCCAAAAATGTATTACTAATATATATTTAAATTAGTCCTGTATTCACAGAAGCAGACTGCATACTCGTCCAATGAATTTATGCTTATTTTCACTGTTGAAATGTAATGATTATATGTCTGAGGTTTATTTTATACAGATTTCTGTTTGGTTTTGTTATTTTATTTCTACACTCAGAACAAAATTATGCACATTTAATCACACACAACTGCTTTGTACTTTTGGACTCTTCCAACTCACACTGACAGGTACAGGCCAAAACACAAATGAGTGTGCAGCTCACCTAGCCTGACTTCCTGCCAAAGACGGACAGTAATGAGTTTAGAATTTTTTTTTAAATGGCTGCAGCATCCAGCACTCAGGCAAACGCATGTATCTCTTGTTCCCCTAATGAGTTTGTTCACAAGATTATTTTCCATCATACAAACTTTACAACGCATGTCCACGTCCTGTCACACTGTCAAAGTATTTTTTTTTTTTTGTTGTTTCTACCAGGAGATAAAAACACGACTCTTCCTTTCTGCTCCCTCCTGCCTTATCCCTCTTACTATTTTGGCTCACAGCTTTTTCTGTGTTGTTTTAAGGCAGCGCTCTCTCCATCATTGGCCCAGTCGCCCACAAACACACATACAGCATATTACTGCTGAGAGGACGGTCCACAGTTCTCCAGCACAGTGCGTAGGAGGGTGTGTATGACTGTGATGCCTTCACAGGTGCGCTCCACGCTTTAAAGCACATATGTCTGTGCGTTTGGTTGAAGCAGACGTTATCAACTGGTGGGGGTGTGTGTGTGTTGGCTATATTGGTATAGCTACACTTATGAGGACATATGTTTAGGTAAAACACATTGCTGTGGGGACAGTTGTCCTTCTGGGGACGTTTACATAGCGCCCTCTTAGAAAGAAGGTGTTTTAGAGTCCAGACTGTGTTTGAAGTTAGATTTAGAATTAGCCTGAGATTAGAGTTAAGGTTAGGAGTAGGAGTAGGCATACATTTGTGAAAGTCATAGTAATGGTAAGGGTCTGGGGAGTGAGTTATATTCATGTGAGTTACTCACAAATCACAAAAGTCTGTATTTGTGTGCAATCTTTTATAGCTCAGTGTTTTTCAACCTTGCGGTTGCAACCCCAAATGCAGTCGTTTGGGATTCAAATGGGTTCACCTGAATTGTCAGGTAATTTGTTTTGTTAAAAAACAACTGAAACATTTTTAAACTAATTTTATTTATTTTTTTAA